ATTTATGGTGTTCTTGTAATGCACAAATTGACAGTGTGCATTTAAACGGGCAGATGCGAACAGAACTTGTATGTGCATTGTTTCTATTTGTGAACATAAATCTGTTGCAAAAAAGCTACTTCTTAAAGAAGTTTATTGATTTTGTCACAATCCTGTCTCAGTCTGTTATTTTGCCTTGTCTGCTAAGTGTTAGCTTGGGTATCTGCTCTGTTTTGTTTTAGTTTGAGTGTGTTGTCTGTTCTGCGTTTTGGATTCCTACATTGTAAACCCAAAGTTTGGAACACCAAAATATTTGTGGAAACTGATTACCTCAGACTTTTTTAAGTAGTGGTAATAATATTTTGAGTACATTTTAAAAAACCTTTAATTTCCCATACTTAAATTCCACTGATTCACTGACGCTTATTAAAATTAATTCCACTAATTCTTTACTCAATAATGTAACTGTGCGCAACTTATACTCTGAGGGAAATCCTCAGTATTGTGCTAGACTCAATACTAATGAAACTCACTCAACAAATTACTACTAGAAAACTTGAAATGTACAAAATGCCCATTTTCAGATAGTTGTCCTGAAAAACACGAATACAACTCCATTATTACAATTCAAGTTCTCTTTCTTATATCAAACACCTTAAACCTTATCTTCTGTCATTTCTTGTATTTACAGACACAAAATAAGGCACATCTTGCATAAAGCTGCTAGATGTAATTGACTGCTTGATCAGATAATTAGCCAGCACAATTTTGATAATCAATTGTTTTCATTCTTTTTTGCAATAATGTTGAACATTCTATATTTCTGACTATGTCATAATATATGTCATAATTTTTGACTATGCATAATTTCATTCCACTCGTCACTGGAGCACAGAGAGAAATGCCGGTGCTCCTGTGACAGAGATAGAGCACGTTGGCGGCAGCTGAAGCAGTAGCTAGACGAAGAAACTGGGAGAAGATAAGGTTTGGCTCACTGGCCATTTAACGTTAGCTGTTCATAGACTCCTATAAAAGGACTTTGGCTGTCTCGATGCCTTTTGTTGTTCAACATGTTCAACTTCCACAGAGCCGCGTGCTTGTCAGTCACTTTTCATCAAACAACCAATCACCAGGGATGGGGCAGGACGTTAAAAAAAAAACTTTGACGTGCTACAGCAAATTATAAATGTTGAACAATATAATTACTGACAAGTTAGTACTTGCATTAACATTAGAGACCATGCAGAGCCCTTTGCTTGCACAAGGATTTAATGAATAAGAACAACCACAGAAATGAAACAGCCGATATAATATCACTAGTGGTAAATATACTACTATAGAAATTATAATGAATGCAGTAATCACTGTACTACAACTGGACTATATTAACTTACTAACATCACTTTTTATTAATGTAATATAACTACATACTGATCCTCCACTGTTTACAATGTAGCAAAATCAGTATTTTAGACTGGTGACAAAAAACAAAACTGCAACTTCTTATGTTCGTTTAACTTTGTTCAAGCTGAGAAATACATATTTCATAATGAAATGTAGTATTTAATATATTATTGTTATGCCAACAATAAACTATTAACTAAACATTATACTCTTTGTTTAATACACTCATGTACAGTTCCTCCTCCAGGTTGTAGATGGAGACTCTGCAGTAGACAGAGGTACATTGAGCCTGTGCGCCAATATTTGCTCCTAGCCGTCTCCTCTGCAGAGCAACATGCTCCCCTTGTTCTGTTTTACTTTAACTTTGTTAATTGTTTAACTTTGTTCAAGTTGAGAAATACACATTTCAAAATGTCAGTATTTCATGTACTTCCCTTCTGTATAATTACAAGCATTTCATTTGTACATCAAAATTCAAAAGAATAGTTAGCATCCCTAATTTGCTTTAATGTTACTAACCTCAGCTCCTCCTCCACTTTTTTTATTTAATTTACTATTACTATTAAGATATACAGTAGAGGACAGAGCTGTAACCTGACAACTTAATTTTTATCTTTTCCTCCGCTACTTTCAGTCATTTTCTGCCACTCTCTCACATTCGCTGTTCCTTTGAAGAACGAGGAGAGGGAGACAGCTATGCGTTGAATGTTACCATAGCTCACTGATAATAATTAACGATCGTGTGAAATTTTAACAGCTAACAGTGCTCATTCATTAGGTTTCAAATACATTGCTAGCAAAAAAATCACTGATAAATACCTGTTTAAAATTATTTAAGGCCTAGAACACAAACTTAAGGCCTTAAATTTAGAAAATTTTGACTTTTGTAGACCCTGCAGAAACCCTGCAGGAACGTCTACCTGACAGGTGCTGTTATCAGAGCAGCTCCTTTACTCTGGAGGTCTCAGTGTTTGATTGACCGAGTGACAGAAAGTGACGGTGAATCTCAGAGAAGGAAAATATTATGGCAGTAATATGGGTGTGCTTCAGCTTCTCCAGACCAACAAAAGTCTATTGTTCCCAAACAGATGGAGAAGTGAAGCAGGTTAACAAACTTTTCCCATTCAGACTGGAAGCTGAGCAGGAAGCTAACATTACATTAAGCTGACGCTTTTATCCTTCACTTTTCAAACCTGAAGGTTCCTGCTTGATGAAGACACAAAGCTGCTTCCTGGTTTCAAAAATCAGACACATTAAATATCAGATTTCTGTGTGGTTTTGAGACGTAACATAATCAAAGAATGAAATGCAGATTCAGGTTATCCTCACAGAGAGGAGCAGGTGGAGGTGGGGCTACGTACTGCTGCAGGAGGCGCTCTCCTCCTTGTTGTTGGTGGGCGGAAGCGAGGTGAGGAGGCCGGAGCCTTACGGCGGGACTTGGGAGGCTTGGTCTGGGAGTCCTCATACTCTTCCGCCAGGGCAAACAGGTCGCTGAACCTGTAGGAGGAGGAAGTGATATCAGTGATATGTGTGGGTGCTTGCGTACCTCATCTTGTGGACCTCTTCACAGCTGGCCTGGACGTGCTGCAGAGCCGAAGGATCGGGGTCTGAGTGAAGACTGGCAGAGACAGACACAATCAGCTATCAGTTATCAATACCTCCTGAAGCGATCAAACCAAAAATGTTATCACAATAATTTAAAAATTTCATAGCATTCGATAATTATCACAATATTAGTCAAATCCTTATTTCTCTCAAGTTTAAAGGCTTCTAAAATTGGTCAGAACATGACAAACGCTTAATATGATATGATAAAATCTGTTTTAACAAAGTGATTAGTTAAACCTTTTCCTCTAGAAATTAATATTTTGATAGAAAATTTAAGTGCGTGTTCGTGATCCAAATGAATTAAACCAAATATTTATTGACGGGAAGCCCGTTGCCCAATGTTGCCCAATGTTGCACAATGTTGATTGAAAAACTGTTAATTAATAACTAATTTACAAAGTTGGAGAGAACCCAACTTTCTTTGCAGCGA